CCTCTCTACTCTAAATTGTAAACTTGATGCATGAGAAATAGATGCCTTATCAATCACCATTATTATTTTTTAAGGACTGATTTAGTGTATGTTGAGGCCCAGTCAGGCTCTATGTACTTTCGCTCAAAATGCTAAATTGTCATAATGATGGGGAAACACAAACTAAACATTCAGATTCTGTTTATTTAGCAATTTTCACTTCATTAAAACAATACAGAACAATACATAAACAACTCTCACACAACTAAATGATTGCAGGCAGGTGTTGGACACAAGACATAATATGGAGAAATTCCCACACGCTGCCATAGCTTTCAGTAAATCCAGCATTTACTGAAATGTTTTGGCCTCGCAACCTTCGTTACGCAAATTTCTTTCACTTCATTAAAACAAACACGAGAAACATGAATGAGGTTCATTTAAATCTGTTGAATGTACAGTTTCTAGTTGAATTAAATAATGACAGGCTATGTTTGGCATTGAGGGTGTGTATGCATCCGAATTCAAAGAGTGAATATTAAGTCAATATGAAATCATAATGTAAGCAAAGTCGATGTGACTGTGTGCTAGATCAGAAATCTGTGTGTAACCGGAGAGAGGTTTGGTTTTCCTCTGCTGAGCTGCATTAGCCAGTGTTGTGGAATGACACCTCTGTCCACCGGAGAGCTCAGTCTTGAGATGCTGTGGAGACCTTGAACAGCACGTCTGTGTGCGGCTGCCAGCGCAGTCTGCCATCTTCTGCTCTTATTTTCTCAGATTTTCGCTGGGATCTCTGCTGTGTCGTTTATTGGGCACTCCTGAGCCTATTAAACAACACCAGAGAACCCACAGAATATTGTGGGTTTTCTGAGTCACACGTTTGTTGCGTGGTCTCTCTGTCTTTTTTTGTGTACACCCACACACACCCACAGACACACATAATGTACTTAATCTGAAATAGTAAAGTAAAAATAAAAGTTAAAAAAATCAATCAATATATATAAAATGTATTTTCAAAGTTATTTTTGTTTCTAATTAATCATTTTATCAATGTGAACCTTATTGTTATTATTATATAAAAGGTTTAAATTAAACCTTTTAATACCTTATACATTTACATTTAGTCATTTTATTACATTAACTTATTGACTTTGCGAAGGCAACATTTTTCAAGTTTAAAGGTGACATATTATGCCCCTTTTTACAATATGTAATATAAGTCTCTGGTGTCCCCAGAATGTGTCTGTGAAGTTTCAGCTCAAAATACTCCACAGATCATTTATTATATAATTTTGAAAATGCCTATTTTGAGTAGAAGCAGAAACAAGCTGATTTTCGTGCCTGTCTCTTTAAATGCAAATGAGCTGCTGCTCCCCGCCCCCTTTTCCAGAATAGAGCTGCGCCTTTACAGCTCGTATCTGCTAAAAAAAATCTGTTATGGTTCTGATTATCATGTTTATCGCGCTGAAATCATGCCTTTTAAACCATATGAGTTTAAACTTCAGATATAAGGTTTTCTGAGAGCACACATCTGAAGCACACGGACAGAAAGCGGCTGTCACAGCATGTGAGTACTAATCTAAGTTCTCATTCACATACAAGTTTATGTTAAAAACACACGAGTTACAAAAACAGTCGGTTATGTCTGTGAAGGCAAACAGCTGGGAAATAGATTGCATTAGAACTAATACTCTGTTGTCGGTTGCCAAATCAAAATGACGGTGCCGTGGGTGGAAGTTTACAGATTAAGGGGCGGTAATATTATAATGAGATCCCTTTGCCACGTCACCAAGGGAGCGAAATCAGACGCGTTCGTTTTCTCAGACGCTTGCAGAAAAAGTCTTCCCAAAACAAAGTGACTGGGTTAATCTTTTTCACGTTTCCTTGGTTGGTAGATGCACCAGGGACCTGATTATAGCACTTAAAACCTGGAAAAGTCAGATTTTCATGATATGTCACCTTTAAGTTGCTTATATAATATTTATATTTTATTTGATCTTTATTCCAATTATTGTAAACATATTTAAATTATATACCATATACACACACACACACATATATATATATATATATATATATATATATAAAACAATAATTACAATTTTTTATATATTATATATAGTTGTTGTGCTCTATTAAATAAAATGTAATTTAATTTAATGGAAGTACATTTAAAGGTGTTACTCACTGAACTATAGCACAAAATGAAATATTTCTATTGCTATGTAATGTCTGTTGAGTACCATTGTTTATACACAGGTCTTGACAACCATGGCTAATGAAACCCAAACTAAGCTAACCTCTAGCTAGCATTAGCCAATAGAGTCCTCAGCTTCAGCATAGACACCAGATGAGTGTGGATTTCTCCTCCAAAGCATTGATGTGAGCTCTTCAGGTCCCATTTTCAGGTCAGGGATTTGTAATAAGAGGAGACAGGAGTAAACCGGCTGCTTTTGTACCTGGTGAGCCTGGCGAGAAACCATAAAGAAGTCAGGAAGTCTTATAGAGGAAGAACCTGCGCTAGTAACTTTTAAAACAATAGGGATTTGAAATCTAATCTGAGGGCAATTTACAGCATCTCTCTTGACTGGAAAGTTTAGTCCTCAGGGAAATGGATCACCGTTAGATCATTGTAAAAGCTGACATCCCATCAGGACTGTGAGGCTAGCTAGTCAAATCCCACCGCTGCTAGTCTGTTTTCATTGGCGACTACTGATGGGCTGTTTAACTAGGACTGCGGTCCAGCATGTGAAATTAAGAAAGCCTCTACACACACATTCATGGTAATAGAACTGTACAAGCAGAGATGTTACATTTTCCAAACGAAAATGAGCAAGAATTTGTAGAATGCCGAAAGAAACTGGCCTTTCCCACAGAACAACTGCACATTATCCATCAGAGGAGCCTGGTTAAAATAGAGGTACACTGCTGTTCACAAGTCTGGGGTCAGTAAGATTTATATTTATTTATTTATTTGAAGGAAATTCATACTTTTATGCCACAAGAATGCATTAAATGATCAACAGTGAGAGTAGGCATGGGCCGGTATGAGATTTTGACCGTATGATAACCTTAAGCAAACATATCACGGTTTCACGGTATCACGGTATTGTCGTTACAGCTCTAAAAAAATTTTTTTTTAAATGACTGGGTAAAAAAAAAACTTTTTTGCTCGCTGAACACAATATATTTTCTTCTTGAGCAACATACAGACTTTTCGGAACAGTAGAATTTGATTATTTTTTCTTTGATTTGTTTCCTAAAAAGAAGAAAAATATAGATTTTTATTTTTAAATGACTGGGTAAAAAAAAAACTTTTTTGCTCGCTGAACACAATATATTTTCTTCTTGAGCAACATACAGACTTTTCGGAACAGTAGAATTTGATTATTTTTTCTTTGATTTGTTTCCTAAAAAGAAGAAAAATATAGACTGACATCTTTATTTAACCTAAATCTGTAATTACAGTTATTTAATTTTAGTTATATAATTCATATACATATCATTTATATCATTTAGTTATATAATTTCATATACATAATTTGATTTAATAATAACCCAATTTGAAGCAAAATCAGAATGTTCTGTTCTGACTAGCTTTGTGAAATTATACTACATGCCTGAACGAAGCAAACAGCAGAAGCTCTGAATGAGATGCAGATTCACTCTCTGACAGCAGGAGGCGCTCCTGGAACACCAGATACAGTGTTTCATTGGTTACCACCGTAAACAAAGCAAAAATATTAAGCAGCACAACTGTTTTTAACATTGATAACAATAATGAATATTTCTTGTGCGCCAAATTAGCATATTAGAATTATTTCTGAAGGATCATGAAAATTCAGCTTTGCATCACAGGAATAAATTACATTTAAAAGTCGTTTTAAATTGTTTTAATATTTTACAATATATTTTTTAATTAATACATTTTTTACTGTACTTTTTTTGGTGAGCATAAGAGATTTAAAGAAACAGATTGGGACAGACAGACAGACAGACAGATAGATAGATAGATAGATAGATAGATAGATAGATATATAGATAGATAGATAGATAGATAGATAGATAGATAGATAGATATAATTTAGTTTTCGATTATCTTCACACCATTTTTTGTACACAACAGAAGTTTAGGCTCCAAAAACAACCAGAAAACACCATTAAAACCATAAAAGTAGTTAACATAATTTGTGCACTACATTGAAAGAAACCCACATGATAGCTTTGCGTGATGGACAGTCAGAAATTTGAAGAAAACTAGTTGTTAATCCCTGAAAGTCTTGCCCTCCACTTCAGCACTTGAGTCTCTTCCAGAGACTCTAAATTAAACGCCACCATGCTTACGAACCAATAAAATTAATTATGTCAATCTTGACATGTCATTTTTAAATCTTATGTGAAATTAGATTTCTGAATAGAGTTGTTCACAAGTCTCTCATGTCTTATTGCTTAATTACAGTCCTGGTTGCTCTTGGGATAAGACACATGGGAGGTTGTGTTCGGTAAATGTGAGCTTCAATTGATTTGACACCAAATAAAAAGGTGGTCAGAGTTAGACGTGAGTATATTTAGCTCTTTAAATTGTATCAACACACAGGATAGTTTGAGTGGGTAAAGAAATCAAGCAGAAGTATTCCAGAGCACTGGGAGCCCGGCTAATGTTCAAGGTCAGTGTGTAGCCGGTGTCCAAGAGGGATTTACTGGTGGGAAGAGAGAAGCAGCTCAATGGACGACCAAACTCAAGTTCTTCCAAACTTGTATGAGTTTCTTTCTTTGATTGAACACAAAAGAAGATATTTTGAAGAATGTTGTTAACCAAACAGCTGACGATAGCCACTGAAAATATGTTTTTTCTTGTCAACAGATCAGCAAATGCCTGGTCATTCAGATTCATACATCTAACATCAGAAATCGACTGCAATGAAGAATGGATTCTGCATTTTAAACTGGGATTCGAGAAAATGTTTAAAATAAGAAAAGTATTACACTTCAGAAAATGTTGATGTTTTTGTGTCTTGCAGTCCTCAAGAACGACCCGCTCGGATGAGGAGAGGGACACCGGTTGGGACGCCTGGGGCGCATGGAGTGACTGTTCTCGCACCTGTGGAGGCGGAGCCTCGTATTCTCTACGCAGGTGTCTCAACGGAGGGTGAGCGAATGCACATACATGTGTTCATATCTTCATGACATCTCAAACACAAACCCTTCCTTTAAAGCCACTGTATTTAATCTTGAAATATCAGTTTCAAAATTATTCTGATGGCACACTGACTTCTAATAAGGCGAGGGCATATGCAAGAGAGTATGTAAGTTTGATGAGCATGTACGAAATTCTGTGAAGATGGCAGATTGCTTTATGACAGCAACATATGTCTACAGTATTACACTGTAATTAAGTGATATATTTACGACAGTGATTTCCAACCACTTAAAGGGGTCATAGGATGCCCATTTTCCACAAGTTGATATGATTCTTTAGGGTCTTAATGAAAATTCTGTAACATAGTTTGGTTAAAATTTCTCAATGGTAGTGTAAAAAAACACCTTTTTTACCCTGTCAAAAACAGCTCTTTTCAGATCAAGCCGTTTTTGTAGCATTTTCCTTTAAATGTTAATGAGCTATGCTGACCCCGCCCCTATCTTCCGAGCTGCTCTCAGAGAGACTGTTTACTTCAGCCGCATTCATCGTGAAACTTGCTAATTAGCACATTATTAGGAAAGGCGATTTGCAAAGATTCATTACAAAACATTATACTCACTTCTTCTGTAGATGAGGCTGGATCATGAATGATTCGCGCGAACATAGACGCATTTATGTAGATCGGGGGCGCATTCCCTTCAGAAACAACGCAATCCACTGCGAATTCAGCGGCTCAGATGTCGGGAGTAAATGAGGACTGCTATGTTCATTATTACATCCAACAACAGAACACCTCAATCGCTTAGGAAGGAGTCATTCTTGTCTACATCTGCTTCAGCGGTGGTACAATGGCGGACTGATGACAGCTCACTCAGGGCAGATCTAAGGTAAGACACCAGTCCAGTCTGTGCTGAAACGCTACTGTCAATCAAACTATCGTGGGAGGGGCCTGTCTGTGTGACTTCACACAGACAGGCATCTGAGATCGGCTCGATTTGAGAAAGGGGAAAATATTTAACCAGATCCACACTGGGTGGATTTTTATCATTATAGGGTGGTTGTGTACACACACTGCCAACACACATTTCAGTTCAAACTACTTGTAAAAGTGCATGTAGCATCCTATGACCCCTTTAACTGTAGGGGGCTCTAAAGTCACATAAATACACAAAACTACATCCACCTGCTTTCATTACCACGGGAAGTAGGGGTGCTGAGGGTGCTACAGCACACCCTGGAGTGTAGCCCACGAAAAAATGGGGGTGCTGGGGGTGCAGTGTTAAAAATAAATGAATGAACAATATGTAATAAAAAATAAATAAAGCAGCAACTAATCTGGCATTCTCACATCTGTAGCGCTTATTTTGATCTTTTTTCCTATTCTTGAAACAAAATTAATGCTTAAGGTTGATTCAATATTACTCTTAATGAAAAAAACACACACACACAACATCAACAATGCTACAATGACAAAGTCGCTTATATTAAACAAAACTTTTATGAACAGATAAGAACAAATAAGATCAGTGGCATAGCATCTATGCAGGGTATGCAGGTGCATATGGTCCCAGGCAGTTTGGGGGCAACGAGGGAACGAATGGGCCCTGCATGGGCCCGGCCCTTGTCCAACAGCTTTATGAGAATTCTCGGCCCGAGTCCGACTGGATCGTGTGTCTCTTTTCTCGCTCTCTCTTCCCCATTACACAGCTATTAAAATAGTTCAGTTTTGGTTTTTAATGGCAAAGTGGTCATATTTCTTTTTGTTTCTTTATTAAGTTAATTTAGAAATATGTTTGGAACATTTTATTTTTGTTAAATTCAAGTTTTTGTTTTTTAAAGGAACGACCAAGTCAAGTCAAGTCACCTTTATTTATATAGCGTTTTAACAATACAGATTGTGTCAAAGCAACTGAACAGCATTAATTAGGAAAATAGTGTGTCAATAATGCAAAATGACAATAGTAAACACTCATTTTTCAGTTAAAGACAGTTCATAAAATAGCAGAGGACCTAGGACAGATCCTTGTGGCACTCCATATTTTACTGGTGATAATTGAGATGACTCCCCATTTAAATGAACAAGGTGGTAGCGATCGGACAGGTAGGATCTAAACCATCTTAAAGCCTGCCCTTGAATACCTGTATAGACCAAGTGGCAGTGGCAGACAGTGAGTTGAGCGTTATGTTTGATCAATTTAGCCTTCTCAAACCAACACGACAACACTTCATGCATTTCACAGTATTAATTTAAACATTTAACCTAGATAAATGAGCGCTGTTAGGCGCATATCCAATCGTTTGTGCGGAGAGTGGAAGCTAAAGCTTGCTCTGCTGGAGATAGAGTGTGCTATCTCCAGCCAGCGTGATCACTTGCAGTTTATTTTTAATAACAGTGGAAACTTAAAAATATGCCGACATTTTTGCTCATAAAGGTAAGAGTATACATCATTCGGAACTGCAAAGGGTCTACTTGTATTTGTGTGCAATCACAATATCAACAAAACCTTGTGGTTTTGTAAAATAAGGAAAACAAACAGGCGCTTTCTGTCGTCTTGGTCTTGAGCAGGAGCGCTTCACCGACATGATAAATATATCTATTGAATGCTTTAAAATACTATTTTAAAATGAAATAATTCAAATCGAAAACAAAAACTCTTTCATTATGTAATCCGTAAAGATGCATTTCTCTCTAAAGGCATGTCCAATGAGGATGGCCAGTCAGGTTTGTCAAATTAATTTTTGCAACATTGACTCAGAAAACATTAGTTTATTAACAAATAATTAGAATATCCCCTCACTATTTTATTACTTTTTTTGTTTGTTTTTTTATTTTATTATTATTTATTTTTTGTTTTGTTTAGTTTTTTGGGCTGATGTGCCAAAATTGTGTTTGCATTCAGTAGCC